AGCGGCCGGGGGCGCGCGCTCCCTCACCGCCGCGCTGCGGCCCCGACCACTCCGCCCACGCAGCCCACTGCCATGGAGACCGGCACCACGCGCCGTCTCCCTCCGCCAGGCAGAGCGCGGGGAGGGGGGCGAACGGACGCCGCCGCCGCGCGGTAAAGAGTCCGGCACCGGTTCCCGGGCCGGGGCGGCCCCGGGACCTTTGTGATCCCTGTGGGGATCCCGGGGCCGCCCCGGCCCGGGAACCGGTGCCGCAGGACGACTGTCCCCCGCCGAGGTCGCCTCATAAGCTTTTAGAGGCACAAGCCGTGTGCTCCACAGGAACCGTTTCCCCACCAGCTCCGGCCGCGTCTCCACCGCCATGGCCGCCGCGCAGGCACCGCACCAGCCGCCGAGCCCGCTCCTCTACGGGCCGCCCATGGCGGGGAGCGGCGCGGCAGAACGGGACAGGCGCGGGAGGGGAGGGCTCCTCGCCTCAGCGGCGGGGATGGGGATCCCGGGGCCGCCCCGGCCCGGGAACCGGTGCCGCAGGACGACTGTCCCCCGCCGAGGTCGCCTCATAAGCTTTTAGAGGCACAAGCCGTGTGCTCCAATGGAGAGCTGAGGCTGCAACACCTAACGAAGCCATGTTCTGCGCTAATCACCACCGGTTCATTGGCTTTTTTATTCCATAAAGCCTGGAGTCATGCCATGTTGGTGGATTATTTTTATTTTAAAGAGTTTTTCCTCAGCGTTACCTAGAGGCGCCTGAACTTCTGCCTTTCTCCCCTGGCTCCGCAGGGGGTGGGTTAATGGGCTCTCGTGGAGCTCCAGACAGCACATTTGAGTAGTGAGGTTTTTGAAAAATAGATGGTGAGGCAAAAGGCAACGAGTCAGGAGCGTCAACTTAGCGCGCTCCCATGTATTTCAGTGGAACAAATAGCTTCTGGTACAAGAGAAGTTAATTAACAAAGAAAAAAACCAACCAACCCATCATTCCCCATAAGTTTGTTCCCAGTACAGAATAACTTCGGAGACACGACACATATATAAGAACCTACAGCTGCCTGGCATCCCACGGGCAGTAGACTAGGGATGTATGGAGGTGGGCTCCTTAGAAGCTGTAGAAGAAACCACAGTGCCTTTGCGCTGAATGAGATCTTCATCCACATTTCAAACTGGAAGAGGGCAGATTTTAGATTAGATACTAGAAAGAATTTCTTTGCTGTGAGGATGGTGAGACACTGGAACAGGTTTCCCAGAGAAGCTGTGGCTGCCCCATCCCTGGAGGTGTCCAAGGCCAGGCTGGATGGGGCTTTGAACAACCTGGTCTGGTGGGAGGTGTCCCTGCCCAGGGCAGGGGGGTTGGAACTCAAGGATCTTTAAGGTCTCACCCAACACAAACTATTCCATGACTCTATCATTTCAAGGTAGCGCTACAATTGACAATAAAAATCCTGCACTCTTCCAGAACGAGTAAAAATTATGTAAGTACAGAGAAGTTATGAATAAGGGGTATAAAAAGAAATTATGGAGACAACTAAATAAGTATTAATCACATCAAAAGTCTTTATAGTTTTATTTGATTCCCTCTTGTTTAGCCAAAGAGTAATTTGAGATTACTAATGAATTATACACTTAAGTAGATTACATCAGCATGCAACAAATCACAAAATATGCCAAAAAAGCCAAGATACATGATTCTAATAGACTGAACATGTGAATTTATCATAGAATACCAAAATATTAAGAAACAAAGCAACGCCTCCCCTATTTTCTTGATAAATACTATGCAATACTTGAAAGGAAAATTCAAAGAACCATAATTTGCAGGATTGAAAGGATTAGGGATGGTATGAATTGATGCATCTTCTAAAGATGATGGTATAAGGAAGCCTCTTTCCATAGACTGCTCCAAGAAGGCCAGAAGAATTGCCTTTGAGCTCAACAACAACAGGTAGATCTGGGTGCCCACGGACAACACCAAAGCAGAGCTGACACTTCCAGGCTGGAGAAATAGAGAAAAAAGAGAAGTGCAGAAAAAAACTGAAGGAAAAACTTCTCTAAGCTGAGCCCCAGGGTAAGAAACTTTTCTTGGAAAACCTACCATGGGCAAACTTTCCCACTTCACTCCTCTGTGGCCCCAGTGCAGCTTTGGCAGTAAATATGGTGGCTGATCAATTCAGTCACCAGGATTTACAGGGAAAGCAAAAAAGCTCAGCCACCCCAACAAAGGAAAAACAACACTGACACTAAACATGACCTGCTGGGTCCATCCTCTTTCACCCAAGTTGCACATTGAGCCAGTACTAACCACCTGAGCCCACCTGGAAGAGGCAACCGGGTCCTGCCATAAAGGCACGGGAATAGGAAGATGGAGGAAACAAGACCCAGTTCTCTATCACTTCAAACATCAGGACAAGAGATTTCCACAATTTCAAGAACCACTGCATCTTCCATCTTTTGCTATAATTGAAAAGATATTGATGGGGCTATTTATATTTTCAACGAATGGCTTCTATGACCATATATCCCACTTCAGCTGGGCATTTAATCACCTGAAAAGGCTGTCACGCATATAGTGTATTAACAGTATCCTTGAAATTGACCAGATTGCTAAATAAAGGAGCTTTCCTCCAAGTATTTTCAGCCCCACTTCCCTGAAAGTACACACATTGGTCAGTTGCCAAATTAAGATCTTTACTGAGAGCTGTTTCTAACTTTCAGGGTGAAACACAGCACAGCCTATATTGGCAGTAATTGCACCTTCGCCATACAGATAAATACTGCATTTAGAAATGGTTATTTCCACTTTACAGGAAGACAAATTGAGAGAAGAAGGCAAAATGACTTGTCACTTTCACTGCTCTTAAGCAGAAGGAATACTGAATCAGCTCTTCCTAAAATTCTGTGTTGCATACTTTTAGATCTATTTTACCTTTCCTTGGGAGATAGCAAACATCAGTTTCCTCTGAATTCATAATTCTTCAGGAATTTGGAATGTCATATTTAATGTTTTCCAGGGCTCAGCATCAGAAAATTAAGAATCAATATTTAATACAGACTTCCATCATTCGGTTTAAAAATTTCAACTTGAAAATTCATAGCCAAGATAAACCCATTTTCCCCTCAAACATCAGTTATATTACAAAGCTAACTTCTGATTTCTAGCTGTCTTACCTTATCTTCCACACAGAGTCCAAGGGCTTTCCCTAACGCATCTTACCAAAAAGATCTTCCTTGAACACCTAGCTATTGGAGCGGTGAGGCAGTCCTTGAGCGCTGAATGGGACACAGGGTCGGGGGGAAAAGATGGTTATTTAAAGACAGCTATCTAATGGAGGTGCAAAGGCTGCACTGAACACCTGGGGGTGCAAAGGTGCATGACAGTAAGAGTCGTGGTTCGTGGAATTGCCTCCCCAGCTCTACCACTAACATACTGGACAATTATTTACTATTACTGGCATCACTGACTGTCTACAGCCACCACAACTCCATCTGGGGTTGTTGACTGACCAACCACTCCTGATCTTTTCCTGCATCCTGGCTTTCTCACTTGTAAAAAGGCTGCAAATTTACTGCTATATTTACACCACAGGTGAATGCAGCACCCCACCGTGCCCAGGTATTGCCTTCAGAACTGCCTTAACACCATCCTGGTTGTTGCTACAGCACACAAAGGAGGAAGATTTAAGTTTATTGCATTTGCGAATCACTCCAGCCAGTATCTGAAGTAGAAAACACTGTAGTTCACAGGGTGCCACTCCATCAATGCTGACAACAGTAAGGAGCACTACTGAGCCTCCATGTGATGTTTCACAGTCAATTTGTAGCCTAGAACAGATGAATACTCACAGCACACTCTGATTCCAACATTTCTTTCTGTTCTACTTAATGAGGTATCACCAAAAGATGGCTGAACAAATTAAATAAATATGGCCTTCAATACATCCCTTTCCCCAGGAGCTTGCTGACATCTTAAGATATTAACCCATCCGTATTCCCCCCTTCCTTCTTGTCACCCTCAAACACTTACCATTGCCTTATGCTTCAGCCAGCAAAACAGACCTCATAAACATCCCACATCTGTTTTAAATTCACAGTCGACCAGCTCAGCGCAGTGAAGCTGCAGGGGCGGGTTCTGCTGAGCCCTGGGGCTCCTGCCCTGGAGCTGCTGAGATGCACTCACCCCTTGTCCTCTGCCGCAGAGCTGGCCACCTCCCTCCAGCTGGGGATGGGGCCACTTCCCTCCAGCTGCAACCACTTTCTGCTCTAAGTATTTAAGTGCAGCCTGAGGGCAGAACATTGTTAGACCAGCCCTACACCTTGGTGAGAAGCAGCTCCTCTTAGTTCTGATGTGTTTGCACCCTATGCAGGTAAAAAGCAGAGGGTGGGGGAACAGAGATAAGGCTGTCAGTTTCCAACTTTCCTGGAATTATCTATAGGTTTAATTCTTCAGATGAAACTTCATGGCCCTGTTTTGGTCTTATCAAATAATGTCCCCATCTAAAACAGCCTCTTTGAATTTGCTTGGGGGAAAAATGCTCTTGGTGTCTTCAAGCCAGACGTGGAAGAAGCCATTTTCTTGGCTAATGGTCACTCAGTGCAGTGCAAGCACTGAGAGCAAGGACAGTGCACAGGCTGCAGTAGTGTAACATTTTTGTGGCCATCCTAATAATGTTAGACCTCCATTCAAGTTCCTTCCCCACCTTCCAATGAGCTGTGGATGCTAGTTTGATGCTTTGGTACTTCCCAGGAATCAAATTGAGCACTAGGTACATTACAGAAGGGATTTGTGTCTGTCAGCCCCTAGCAGAGCTCTCCTGGGACAATGCATGTTGTAACGCCCACAAGAAAGTGCCAAAACTGAAAACATAATATTATTTAGCTGAGGAGATCTGCCTACAGAACAACATTCCTGAAGAGATGGGGCACGTTCAGAGCCTGAGCAGCCTCAGCAGGGCTGATGTTCCTCCCCAGAATCCCTGCCTTCTGCCAGGCTGCTCCCAGCAACAATGCTCCCTTCTTCTGTCAGTTGCTCACACATAAAACCTGAAACCAATCATCCTTAAAAATGAATTAATCACCTTCCCAGGAACCTTCACCTCTAGAAGTGCTTCCTTCCACTTGTACCAAAACCGTATAATGGCCTGTAAATGCTTTGCTGTTGCTGGCAGAGCATGAGGTAGCAGTATAGCTGGCTGTATAGAAGTGCTTGCTTCTCTTATGTAAGTTCCTGGAGCAACAAACTTGGTGAGTTACCCAGTGCGTGGGTATTTTTGTTTACTTTTACCTAATGCTAAATGTTTGGCTATTGCTATCTCTGTGTTTTTACAATTAGTAGGTTTCTAAGATTAGCAGATGGACAACAGTAAAAAAAAAAAAAAAAAAAAACAAAACCCAAACAACAAAAACAACCCAAAAAAACCAAACTAAAAACATCCCTGAAAACATAAACAGCACTTTAAAGGCAGTTATTACTTCTATGGCAGACTTCAGTGCATCTCAAAACTGGGATAAATGTCTCCTAGAGTCTTGTAGAAGAATTTCTTTCTGTGTTGGATGAAAGGTGTTTAAGTAGATCACTGTATGAGTAGATATCGTTACTGATTAAAAGAATAAGATACATTCAGCACTGAAATAACTCTATAGATCTCTGAAATAACCGGGACCTGCATTGGGACTCTTATCCTCACCAGAGAACACTGGTATATTGTGTAGTAAAGATAAAAAAGGGAAAATGGGCAACTGGAGCTGCCTGGAACCTCCTATTCCAAGTGCTTCAATCCACCATGTGTGGGGTGCTATGAGCACCTTTAACAACTCTAATTTAGGAGGCTGAAGTCTTAATCTGATTAGTACTCTGTACATAACTTCCTCAATGTTTATCTCAAAGCTTCTTATATCTCCTCAAAAAAAATCACTATCAAGAGCTGCATTGGTGCTGTCATCCAGGTACCCTACTGCTGCTGAACAGAGCATAAGTTTCCTGTATGAATTGTGTTGGGGTTGTGACCCCTCAGAAGCAGGGGCTCTTGCCGACAGCAGCTTTAGACTGAAATCACTTGGATGTTGGTATTAGTTATCCTGACATAACTAGTGCAGGTGATGGTTATGGTAAGGAAATGACTTAGCACGCTGCTAATGCACAATAAAAAGCTCATGGGATGCTTTGGGGTCCAGAAAAGCTCTAAAGCTGAGCTGAGCAGTAACAAAGTTTAGCTATAATTAAACTATGCAGTGGGCAGGGAAAGTGACTTGACAGTGTTACTTATGGCTACTGCCTTGGCTGGAAAAAAACAGAAAGGTAGCTGGCTCTTTCTGAAACTGAGGGAGAAAGAAAAGCTCCCAGGCAATCACTTAAAAAATTTCTTTTTGTAAGGTTCTGCAATATCCTTTCTCCTCAACTACTTCTGTCTGCCTTACCCTCACTTTCTTCCTGCTCTGCTATCCAAATTCCTTTGCAGTTTCTTAATGTAACACTAGTATTTTCCCTTTATCTAGATAAGATTAAACACAATTGTTTGCTATCAGCTTTGTCTAAACCAGTAACTATTGCATGGGGTAACTACCCTTTAACAAACTTTTCTTATTGCTAATTTTCTGTGATGCTAGTTCTTCCTTCCTCCTGCCAGCAAGCTGCCTCCAAACTGGATTAAAACCAATACACAGATTTCTTTCTTGTATTCCAGCTGCCTGTCTTGTTAAGTTTTCTGTGTCAGGAAAGGCTAACAAATTAGTGTTAATTGTGTCCTGCAATTCAGTAATAGCTATTATTTAACAATATTTACCTCTTTGGTAAGGATTGTCTTAATATTTCATAGTGTTGTATGGCACAGGATGCAAACAAATGATGTTACTGATTCCATGCCGATCAAGTAAGAGGACTTTCTTATTTTTCCTGGCACTGTTACCCCAATTAAAACAATCACAAATTTTCTACTGAGCCAGTAACTTCTTTGACTAATTTACTGTTCCCATTAGGAGTGTTCCAGGGTCTGTCTGGTCTGTCTGTCACATTTGTTCAGGCTATACTCAAAATTAGTCCTGGAAAGGGAATTGATTTCAGCCTGTCCTTACCACCAGAACTGTAATGAAACATTACATCTTATAATGACACTCTGAAAAGGCGCAGACCTACATAAGCAGAGAGACGAGAAGGGACTTGCTCATCTTCTTGGAGTTAAGAGCAGAAGATTGTGTTTGATTGTTGCTGTGTCATTTAATTGAATGAAGAGATTGTCTAGGAGTCACGGACTAGTTGAGGTTGGAAGAGACCTCTGGAGATTGTCTAGCCTGACGCCCCTGCTCAGAGCAGGGCCACCTACAGTGGACTGATCAGGGCCATGTCCAGTCAAGTTTTTAATATCTCCAAGGCCAGAGACTTCACAGTCTCTCTGGGCAACCTGCTCCAGCGTTCAACATCACAGTGGAAAAAATCTTAAGTGTAAATGGGATTTCTTGTATTTTAGTTGATGTTTATTGCCTCTTGCCCGTTCACTGGGCACCACTGAGAAGAGACTGGCTCCTTCTTCACTCCATCTTCAAAAAAAGATTCTAGAAACCACTCTTATTTGCATTAATAACATCCTGATTATTACCAAACCTATATTATATATTCATTATTGCTTTTATGGTGCCTAAGGCATCCACTTCTCTGTCCAGATCCACCTCCCCAAGTTTGCTTCCTCGGGTTCCCTTCTCAGCAGTGCTACCTGCTCGCTATACCTGCATCCTCACTGCTGCTCAGGTTGCCTCTTGCGCTCCCATAGTGCTTGTGACCTGAGACTAGAAAAGGTAGGAGCAGAAATTGGCTTCTAGTTCGTTGAAGTTCAGATAGTTCTTGACTTCTGCAAATCAGCTCTGGGGATGCAAGCACAGACCAGCTGTTCTAGCATGCAGACCAGGGAGTTCTCTCTCCCCCTGAAGTAAGTCTGAAATACAGGTAAAGGTCTAAAATTTAGAAGAGCACATATACTGTTTCTGAAGCATCGACTGATAGTAAACATGACTGAATTGAGAAAAACATTATTGGAAAGAAAGATTAATGGAGAAAGATGTGCTCAGTCCTCAGTAATTGCAGGTGTCTGCATTGCTGTTATTCTCAGTGTAACTGCCACTCAATCACACTTCATTGTGTGATTATTTTCCTGCTGCACATGACTTCTGGACTTGAAGTTTCTATTAATTCTAAGAAATGAGTCTCTTCAAACTTCTATCTATACAGGGACTTATCTGGTCCTGTCCTATACTATTTTGTAGGATGATAGCAGGAATCCAAAGGAAAAATCTGCTTTAGATTGTGCAGATTTGTAATATTAAAAAACCACTCTTAATACACCACCTGCTGAAGAAAATTTAGTAATGTGTTTTCGGGTGGTTGCATGTGGGACACAGAGCTGAACACCAAGTGCACAGGTCTGGAGGAGACTTACCTCCTTTCAGTGAGTGGTCTGAACACGGGCTTGCTCTCTCTATCAAGTACTAAATCCAAGAACCTGATGGCTGCCAAAGGGAGTACTGTGCTAGCCTTTCTATATTTAGATACTGATCATGCTTTAAGAGTAATAGGTGAAAATACTTGTTAGCTCTAATATTAGAAGTAGCTGACAGGAAGCAAAAGGAAGAATAGTAAGTGAAGGTAAATCTTTGTGTCTCAGTCCTCTATTTTTCCCTTCCCTGTCATCTTTTTCCTTTTACTCTAAATGCAGCTTCCAGAAACCTTTGCTCTGGTATTACTGAGTTGCAGCAGTAACTATATGGGAATAGACATTATCTGACCACACCTAAAGAAAGATGGCCCCAAATTATAAAACATCAAGTTGCAATCGTAACTGCAATGAGAGAATACAGTGTGCAGAAACCTCTCCAGCACAAGTCTGTATCTAAAAGCACTGTGTGTAACCTAGACTTCAGAAAAGGCCAGCAAGTCATTCCTGCTGGCTCTGTAATCCCAGTAATGTTATTTACCTGAAGCAGACTGTAGATGACTGCATGGAGCTGTATTTGAGGTGATTCAGAAAGGTCAAGGTCCAGGGTGGGTGTTGAGCCAGCCTGTGTGGCTACACTGCTGTCCTGGACTGGAGGGTGACATTCCCTTTGCAGGAAGAGACCTCAAATGGCTCTTATTAAACCCGTAATTTGGGATCCTGGATGCAAATCCGCTGTCTTTCTCATCTGAAGTCACTGACAACAGAAGGCAAAATGGAAGTTCAAGGAAATGGTTATAATGAACACCACCTCAGAGCCTTGTGCTGACTCCAGTTTCCTCTTATCCAGCTTTGAACTCTCCAACTGAGTTACGTCCCATCAACTTAACGTTTGTGTTTCATGTTAACTTTTCTTTTATACAAAAATGAGGCTGAAAGCACACATTTTGTGTTAACTGCTAATCCAATTGAAGACTGAAGTTGTTGCTACAAGAGACTTAGTGGCAGTTACAGTTGTGATGCAACTCAGCCGTAGGGAAATAAGGTACGGGAATATGTTAATATCTTTCTTCCAGCATTTGCATTAGCTACAAGACCTGTTCTGTGCCAAGGCGGATGGAACTTGAGTACTCTACTTGTTTCTGAGAACCAAGTCGGTCAACCACATAAACTTTACAGCCATGCAAAACCATGAAGGTGACTTTGTTTTCTTAATGCAGCTGTTCAACACACTTAATTGTTGAACATCCATCACTTGGGAAGTCAGTGGTCCTAAGCGCTTCAGAGATCAGCTGCTGAGGTTCCTGAGTTTTGGGTTGCATTTTGGTTTTGTTTTTTTCCCCTATGTGCTGCTTCTTGTTTCATGTACCTTGGTAAATTGTTTTTCAAACTTGGGAGAGAGGTTAAAAAAAAAGCACGTGGAAGAACTGTGTCCATACAGGAAGATGGTGGGAAAGGGGATTAAAACAAACCAGCTCTCGATTCCCATCTTTGACTTATTGGACAGTGAGTTTCGGTGTCGATTTTTGATGGCTAACAGCTCTTTCTAGCAACTTCTGGGAGACAAGAGGTATGCAAAAAAGCATAAATGTCTGTGGGAAGAAGGTTTGATTTGTCTAGACAGAGCTTCCTTGACATAATGTAGATAATTGTTCCCTAGCCTCCTGCAGACTACCAGAGCAGCTAACGCAGCAGTGTATTTATGCCTGTTAAACCAGAAGTTCTGCCTATTGTTTTTCCTGCCTTCATCACTTTCCACTGCTATAGTCCAGCTATGTTATACCAGGACATTAAACATTCAGCATCCAGAATGTCTAGACAGGCTGAAAGACTGTCTGTGCTCCATTTTTTTCAGAATCAACTTTCCTAAGAACTAAAAGGCTATTTGGAAAGAGAAGGTGGCAGAGTTCCTAGTATGAGATGCATCTTCAGGCTGCCTTCTGAAGCGAGTACAGAGTAATGCAGTCTGGTAGGGATTTCTAGCAGTGCACAAAATTCCTGTGTAAGCCTCCCCCTGCTCCCCAGAGAGGCTTCAAGCCTTTGACAATTATTGCTAATGTCTTAAACAGCTTGCACTTGTATTGCAAGGATACGAGACTACATAGAAACGTACCCTGTCAGCTGGTAATGTCCTGTTAAAATAACAGAGGAAAGGACTAAAGGGTGACTTCCTCACCACAGAAGATGGTAAGGATCTTTCTGATGCAAAACAAATGGTTTCCATTTAAAGTGTAGGACCTGTGGATCAAAAGATGTATTTTCCTGTGCATATCTGCTGTTTTTAGCAATGCTAAGCAAGCAAGCAAACAAAAAAGCCAAACTTCTTTTTCCATATAATTTTCTATATAACCTTTGTCATTTTTTTTCAGTGCTGACCTTAGTTGCTCTCCATATAGGAAGGAGCGAGTACGTGTTGCCTGCAGGGTGAAAATGAACACTGTCTCTAGAAGCTTTATAAACTGTGAAAGCCGGATACAATATAAGGGCTGATGATCCTGTTGCTGTTAATCTGCCTGCACACTGGGTATGACTGTGCTATATGTCATAGAAGCCTTAAACTTTGATTTCAGACCCCAGAATAAGCCTGAGAGGCTTTATCAGAGGTGGGGAGGAAGGACAGCCAGCACATACAGTGTTGGGTTCCTGAATCTGTGTGTCACTTGTAGGAGTGAGGACACAAGGGTGCTCCTATCCAGCCATGCTTTTGGGGTCTGTCCCAGCTCCCTCTTCCCTGGGGGGCTGAAAATTCCCGGGGAGCCTCATGTTAACCCTCTTAACTTCCAGTGAGAGAGAACAGCATCCTTGTGTAAATGCTTAATAACCCAGGCTCTTCAAAGCAAAGCAGACTTGGCTGTATTAAATATACATATCAACAAAGCCTTCAGACTGGTAGCCAGGGTATTGAGAAGCTGCACACAAGAAAGAGGCCTAGATCAAAGAGGACAAACAACTGGATGCAAGCACCCAATACAACAGAGTGGCCAAAAGTATAACATTTGTTACCTCTATTAATGAGAATGAAAGGTAGGTGGCAAATTACCTTATGCCAAAGTCATGTAGAGATAACACAAATCAAGTTACAATGTCTGTATGTGAAAAGTGCTGGGGATAGAGCTAGAAATCTACCATAAAGTATTTAGGGACTAGGTTAAAAAAAAAAAAAGTCATTTTAAGAAACTTGAGGCTTAATTTGTCAGGAGATTGAGGGTGACTTAAGCATGCATAAATTCTTGCAGAGAGATAATGAGTGTGAAAGAGCTCCTTAATCTATCACTTACAGCATAGCAAGAACCAGTGACTGAAAACTAAAGGCAAAATCAAAGTTTAAAAGCACGTGTCCAGTTTCATATAGGGAAAACAATTTACTGATGAAAATTAAAAAAAATTTATTCAGTGTTCTGGTGCCTTGAAATCAATATCCTTTGTTGGCAGCACCCCTTCTAGAAAACAAAGGTTATCTGACAACACATGAGTGAATGATTTCTGTCTTGGGTCTAAGTCAGATGAAATTATTTGATACTTTCTTTCAGTTTTAAGATCTGTAAGATGAGATCTCTTCCCCAATTTAGGGGAGAATGCAGGGAGAGGACAATTCTGGGAAGAAAAGGACAAGAAAGCATTGCTCTAAGAAAAAAAAATAATCAGAATGTAAGATAATAAACCAGCTTCCTTAAATGCATTTAGTGGTCAGTAGTTTTGACTAGACCAAGGATGAATGTGGAAGGCATAATGAAGTCAGCTGGCTGAAGACTAACTTTGGCTATTCTGGCTCAGGGCAGTGGCCCAGCTGAGTTGCTCTCCCAGATAATCACACTGTGCTGCCCTGGAAGGGTGGGAGGGAAGGAAAGGGAAACCTGATATCTCAGTGTCCTTTGCTGGCAGCCTTTTGACTTGCTGGATAATGTATGAAGTAGCCCTTCAGTTCTCAGTAATGATTAGGCCCCTCTGGAGCTCTGTGTGGGGTTGGGCTCTGCATTTCAATAAAGAGTTGGATGTAATAAGGGAATCTAAAGGTCTAGAAAATGACCATAAAATGGTCAAATTTGGAATTGCTTCTTCAAGGGAAGATGTAATCGTTTAAGTACTGGTTTCAGTTTTTAAAGTTGCTTCAAAAAGAAGTAAACAATTTTCCTTCCATGCTTGGAGAAGATGGGATAAGAAGTCCTGAATACCCCTTAGCTCAGCTTGACTTCAGTACTAGGGAAAGCTTCCTAGCAGGATAATGAGGGACTAGCAAAGAAATAGCCTAAAAATAGGTGTGCCATCTCAGTTGCTGAAAGGCTTCAGCAACAGACAGGACAGAACATCTGCCCAAATGGCATGGGCTGATCCTGGTTTTGTTATGCAGCAGATAAACTTGTGGCCCTCTGTGGTTCTAAGATTTTTATTCTTGGGCTGATGGCCATGCGCTGGTGGACTGTTTAGCTGGAGGCTACGACTTTCTGCAAATGGATATTGTGCTGAACAAGGTTCTAAGTGTTGCCAAAGAATGTATATCTCCTCTTCATTTTAAGTAAAATCTATAAGGCAGTTCAAAAGGCAAACATTGTTCCCTGATAAAATGCAGCTGGTGTGCATATGAGCTTAGTCAGCAGACTATAAAATAGCATAAGCTTTCCATAGTGATCAGAAACATCAAAAGCAGAAAGTGTATTAAAAAAAAAACAAAACTCCAACAGATTGCTATAATTATTAAATGTGATGCATCACAACTAGTGATGGAATATAGCTGAGATGATATTACCCAGACAGGAAGGAATAATATGGCTTTGGTCTGTGTCTCTGTACACAGATTTCAGAACCTAGTGAGAGGGTGGATCATCAGATACCAGAGTATGATTAGCCCACCATTTAAAATGGGTTTGCTCACATGGGAGAGGGATATATTTACTGTAACATTCAGCTGCAGTGTTTGAACAAGTTAACAGCTCTCATGCCACTCTACTTTGGACCAGGGGAAAAATAAACTATACTAATCTGCCCGGTGGACTGCCCTATTCAGATGCACTGGTGTATATAACACTGGTGGTGTGGTAAAGCTTATCTACAGAGTAATGTTTGCAGGTCTATGTACAATAAATGTCAAAACCCTTTCTACCTATAGCTTATCTATACAGAAACAGGAGAGTGATAGATATGACACTGCTGCTTTGGGAGAGTCTCTCAGGTACTCCTGATGGCCTGGAAGTCAGCTCCTCTGTTGCTGCTGCCTGCCCATGTGGGGCTGCATCTCATATGTCTTCCACTCCAAATGGAAGCAATAAGGTAGGATGGACACAGGACTGCTGCCAGGAGACCAAGTCTCAGATGGAGCTGTTCTGAACTTTCCCCTTCCTCTTTAGATCACGTTTCCCTTAAGAAAAAAATCCTAAGGGATGCTCTTATGTTTCTGCAAAGAAACAAGGAGCCAGAACCATTTAACCCATTGCAACCAGCCTTCAAAAACTGGTACAACCAATCAACAGTTGCGGTGATTTTTCTTACCAAAAAAAAAAGTAAACAGAATATCTCTTTAATATACATATTAATCATATTCTGCTTGAATTACCTCATTATATTCTATTATGCTGCACTCAAAGCAGGCTAGCGCTGGATGATAAAAATGCTTTGGCTTTATATTGACAGGAGGGCTGTTCTGGATTTCTCTCAGTGCTCTTTCTTGGCTTTAGCTGCTTTCTCTTACCTTAAGCTCCCTGAATTAAGAGTGCTAGACATCATTCTTTTGTACTCTTTGGAAAAAATACTCCAGGCCTGTTCTTGCATTTGCTGACTTGTCTACTTGCAAGGGTCTTTCCTTCTACTGTGTTGTTCAGTCATTCTACAACCCTAGTTAGATGACCTTTTAAACTCCAAATTCTGTATCGCTTAAACTTCATATGAACTGAAATTGTTAGGGCCCCAGAAGTCAGGAAACCAACTTGAAGGAACCCCCCAAACCATGAATTTAACAATGTGTTTTGGTCTGGGTTTTCAGGCTTTGCCTTTGTAGGTATAGCTGCTAACGAGGGGAAGAAGTAAGTCAAAACCGAAGAATTGTATTCATTAATACAGAAGCAAGAGCTTTAAAAGGAACATCATACTGTGTGTAATAGAACTGCGAGAACAACAGTGGTTAAACTTACCAGATTTTAAAAAAATGCAGAAATACCAGTTTTAAACTTTTTTCTTTTTCTTCTTTTTCATTAATTTGAATGCTTCACATTCCTAATTAGGAATGTTAATAAATTGCACATAAATATATTCCTGAAAAAAATAAACTTATGGCCTCTTGCTAAACTGTCTGTCTCTGTATTGTATAAATCACTTAAGACACAGCTATGTTAGACACCAATTGGCTTTGCCATGTTCCCCAGCGAGATGCTGTGCGGGGAGGTTGGAACACACACGTGAGCAAGAAGGGGCACGTTCAGAATTTTGCACAAAATCTTCAGCTGCTTTGATTTCATAAGATGCCCACAGTATTGCCCAACAATCGTTCTCAGAAGAAATCCCATTAAGGCAGTAAGACTACTGGGCTGTTTGCCTGGTGATCAGAGCCTAGCTTTGCTGTCGCTTCATGCATAGGAAAGATACAAGAAGAGTTACACATCTGAAGGTAGCATAAACCATAAATTTCAAGCATATTCATTAATAACCAGTTAGGGGAATCACAGCAGCTTGGACTACTCTAAGAAAAAAACATCTTCACCTATTCTGTTGTTTTAACAAATAAACTGATATCATCTGTTCCATATGCTGGCTCCAAAATTACAAACATGGCAGATATGATTCAGTAACTCAAAGAACTCTGTAATTTTTTTTCAAATCGTTCTATGTTTGAGACTTGTTTAGAATATATTAATATAAAACAGCAAGGTTAAGAAAAACCCAAAACCACAATTAACATACATGCATTTTTGGGAGCTGCTTGAAAATGGTGCTGTCTTTGGGGAGCTCATCCTCCTTGTGTAACAAATCCTACAGTCAGCAGCAGAAACTCTGTCAGAAGCTATGTAGCATCTTCCTGAATGTTGCTCAACCGCTGTTTTCACAGCTGCAAAAGTAGAAAAAAAATTTGCTTACCTGTCAAGGAGGTGAAAGTTAAACATTAATGTCTGTATACATACATTATATTATACCAAAGAAGTTCAAAGAAAATTGAGGGTGGGTGACATTTACAAGTGATTTTCCAAACGCTGTTAAAACTATTTAAAGCAACTTTTAACTATATTAAGTGGCTTTTGTGGAGGGGGTTAAAAATATCCTATAATCAGATAGCCGTAAGTCTCTTCCTTATGTAAAAATAGACAGACATATGAGTAAGACACCCCAGGTTTGAATAAGTACATGGCATGGATTTAATTGCCATGCCGCTCCCTGTGTTTCTGCCGTGCAGGAGCGTGGATTATCATTCTGTGTGAACTGGGATACAGGGAAGTCCATGTGGCATCCTCGTGCTTGTCTGCTGGAGGCCCAGCAAACACCACCCAGCTTGTTGCACGGAACAGTCTCAAAACATTCTATGAAATAAAGCGTAATCTTCTTAGCAAGATAAATTACTCTTAGGAGCCATCTGCCTTTACCTTTTAAAAAATGCCTCTTTAAATGTAAATTTAGCTTTCCACCAGAGACAGTATTGCCATGGCAACAAATGCAAGCAAAATAAATGTCTTTATACAAAATAAAGAGTGGCTTTTCTCTTAAGTATACTCCATGTGAAATAAAACATGCAGCTTCAGACTTAATGTATACGCTAGCTTGGACAGTAAAAAAGACTATCAGTCTTTTCCTGGAATGGTTCTCTGAGATAGTATCAAACACACAATTGCTTGCAGTAAAGAAATCTATTGTATACTTATTTATACAGGATTTAACCAGGACAATATGCTATAAACTAGAGCTCTTGCAGTTTGCTCTAGATGGACTGGAATGCTACAGACTTCAGCGGAGTGTTATGCAGCAGCAGGATCTGTCTCTGTGTAAGCGTTTACAGAACTGGAGTCTAAAATGTAATCTCTCCCATGTAATTTATATTTCAAATGCTTTGCTGTGCAAGCTTGCTTTGTACAGTCTACCACTGGAGAGGTTTGTTATTTAAGGCACATATAAGTAGTGGTTCAGATTTCTCCTTTCATTGAATGCAATGAAGAATACATTCAGGTTAGGCTTGTTTCAAAAAATGTGCTCTAAATTGCCCACAAACTAATTCCTCTTTATGTATTTTTGCATCAGATACCCCCTGCAGAGGTCAAGGTAAGGAAAGACCCAAGATGGCAAATATCATTACTTTCAAGACCTAAATACATGCTTGGTAAAAACAAAAAATTGTTTTTGCGTTATTGTATACTTTCCCATTTCAAGCTTCAAATTTCACAGTATAAAACTATAGTGACAGTTTTCAAACACTCCCATTGTTGAAATGTTCTGTGCTTGTTTATCTAGCCTGTTCTGTCCTTCCCAAGTCACTCTCAGCCTTTTGAAACGGCCTTTATAACGTGTTCTGTTTGAAGGCTGCAGGGAGTGACGATGCCTGTTACTGGGTTTTACTGGTTCAAGTAGAGGAGGAAATGTGCAGTTGCCTGTGGAACAGAAACCATTCTGCCCTCAGATAGCACCTCTCATCTGAATAAGACAACAGCTTATGAAGTTTAGGCCATTTCTTCTCACTGTATGGTAGAAAAACTATGCATTATGTCCACTTAAAGACCTGTTGAAGAACTAATTTCTGCTGTGGATTGTGATGCTGACCTTGGCATGTCATTCACCGTGAGAGTCAGCAAGAGCAGTGCTGGAAACAATAACCTCCTCTTTCTCTACCTTGACTGCTGCGTGGCACATTCGGTAGCACCAGTGTCTATTGCTTCAGGTATCACTCTGTTATGTTTGTTGGTATCAGAAGAGCAAAGTTGGGTGATTCCAGTGATGGCATCAGCAGAACTTTCTACAGCCTCCTCTTCTGAGAAAAGACAAAGGAAAATAGTGTCATTTTATGTGTACAAACCATCCTGCAAGTGTAAAGCTGGTAGGCAGAAATGGATAGCAATGGATGAGCTGAGGTAAAAGGGAGTAGTCAGCTTCTCCTGCGCATCTAGACCTGCCAGACCATGAGCTTGGATTGGGTCACCCCGTGGATGATCTTGCCCAGTGTCCTGCCTTGGGCAGCCGCTAATAACAAGGAGCCTAGGGATGGAACAAAGGTAAGAGGGCACACAGGCACTAATCCTTCCCACACGTGTCCTCCCAGTCACCTGAAGTTTTGGACCACCCACAGGCAGCGGCCTGCATGGCCCACACCGGGATGTGTCCTTGGACACCGCCTGGGACTGAGCGCTTGTAAAGGAACGTGGAGAAAAAGCATATTCCCAGAGTGGGTCAGAGGGGTGCAGGAGCCCTGGGAACCCATCTGGCCCCACAGCCCTGCTCTGGAGGGAGGGCTGAAGCCTGGGAGAGCCAGGGAAAGGACTACACCCTTATTTCGCACCCCCAGCCATGCACCCATCGCTTGGCACCCTCCGTCCCACGCGCCAGGTCAGCAAGGCCAACTGCAGGAGACGGGACAGGACGGGACAGGACAGGACAGGACAGTTTTGGTTGGAAAAGACCTTTATGATCACCAAGTCCTACCACTAACCCAGCGCTGCCAAGTCCACCACTAAACCTTGCCCCTAAGTGCCATGTCTATGCATCTTTTAAATACCTCCAGGGATGGAGACTCTCCCACTTCCCTAGGCAGCGTGTTCCAATATTTGATAACCCTTTCAATGTAAAAATTTTTGCTAATATCCAATCTGAACCTCACCTGGCGCAACTTGCGGTCGTTTCTTCTTGTCCTATTACCTGTGACTTGGGAGAAGAGACCAACCCCCATCTTGCTATAATCTCTTAGGTAGCTGGAGAGAGCGAGAAGGCCTCCCCTCAGCCTCCTTTTCCCCAAACACCCCCAGCTCCCTCAGCCTCTCCTCACAAGACTTGTGCCCCAGGCCCCTCACCAGCTTCGTTGCCCTTCTCTGGAGGCGCTCCAGCCCCTCAATGTCTTTCTTGTAGTGAGGGGCCCAAAAATGAACGCGGTGTTCGAGGCGGGGCCTCCCCAATGCCGAGCACCGACCGAAACGTGTGAACCCCCCGCCTTGCCGGGCCTCGCCCCCTCAGGCCG